AAATCGCGGTGGTTATGAAAGACAGGTTTGTTTCCATGGTGTTAACTTGCTGTGTGAAAATGTGTCTGTGGTGAACATGGTAGAACTGTAACTGTAAATGCACAACTCCGACGAAAAGTGAATGGGAATTCTGAGACAAAACGAAGTCTACATCTGGCTACGATCTTCATTGAAGAGAAACGGAAGTTCATTACACGAGTTCGCGGACAGTTCTGAAAGAACAGTTATCTTGCACGCAGAAGTTGAGATTGGACGCTTGATTTCCAGGAGCATTCAAGAAGATTTCCTCCCGACTGATGGCTGGCTAATTTCTTAATTCCACACGCGACGACTGGTTTAGAAATATTAAATCAAGGACGACAGTCAGAGTGAGTTGGTTTCAGGAGCAACGCATCGCAACATGATGTCCGGAGATGGTGGCTTTCCACTTGATGAAAGAGGTTTAAACTCCGTTTTAGTCAGTTCTTCTACCTTTCCTTCCAATTAGAGATTAAATATAAATACTGATGATTTTATTCATGTTGTATTTGCTGACGAATTTCTATTATTTCGTATCTGGATCATTCTTTTCGATGCCCAGCTCTTACGTAGGATAACATTCATTCATTCATTCATTCTTTCTTTCTTTTTTAACAGCTTTCACAGAATTCATCTTATGGTTTGTTTTCAATTCATTTTTTAAATACGTGTCTCCATTTACTCACAATATGAATTTTTTTACTTAATTCTGTAATTTTCATACGTTAAGTAATGGTACCAACCTTGCAACATAGATGGGTCACGTGTGTGTTTTAGGAATATACATTGTAAAATATTTGAATAAAAGAACAGTTTTCATTGACTGAATATGCATTTTCAGTAATGTTATTGTGCAGCTGGTAAATTGTGTACCAAACATTGCTGTTGATAAACTTTTCTTAGTAAGTGATGCGGATAGTTTTGATGGGGCATTAATGTATTCGTGCATTTTTTGTGTCAACGTCTTTCTTGCTGTTAGAGACAGGTACGAACCGTTTTTAGTCGTCTTCTTTAGACCGAACGTTTGTGTTGAACATTTATGTGATGTTTATTGGTGCGACCGAATAAGAAAGGTACAGAGTTAGGACAGTGTTCCGAAAATTTGTTCACCGACACACACTAACTTGTCAAACATACGTGAGGTCACACCACTAAGTTTCGCTACACGAAAACAGAGTACGAAAATTTTTTTTTTAGTGTTCTGTCTGACGACAGGTCCATATGAACAGTATCCTTCCATCCTTTTCTCGGACTGGGATCTGTTCATATACGTTCTTGGCAGATGATCCATAAGTGGTTTGCCATTGCCTTCTTCTGTGTGTGAATGGGGTAATTGTTGGGATGCCACGGAGGAAAACTCCGTGTTGCCTAGACCACGGCCTTGCCCAACACAAGTTATAAATTCGGGCACCGCCGGGAATCTAACCCGAAACCCCAGGATTACAAGGCCAGCGTTCTAACCGCTAGACCACCGTGGCTCTAACTGGCAAATACCCAATAAGATCAGTGTTTAGTGATAGCACTAACACCGAGCAGGTAGCACAGTTTAAATATTTGGGACTGTATGTGCGTAGTAGTAAAGTTATGGTTAATAAAACGCATTTCCAAATTATACATACATACACGATATATTAAATCCATGGGAACGAGTTCTTGTTGAGAAGTTAAACAATGGCTAATCTAGTCACTACTGGACTTCACGTTACATCATCCCAGAAGAAATCCCTTTTCACACTTTCCGAGTGTTTCTTGTGTGCATTTCTCATCTTTACGACGCGTGCTACATGACTTTCCATCTCATCCTCCTCGGTTTATGCGCCAAGTGATCTGCTTATGCATGAACGGACTAACGTGTTCAGACCTTCACACGTGACGTATTCATATCTCTGACCGAAGACAGGAAGTCGTCGTATGAATGAGGCTGTCTCGTTCTGTGTCTTGTCTCGCTTAACTGATGACAGTCGGCGAATGCATCATTAATTCAACTCACATAACTCCAATGAAGCTTTAACGTCGACTGCATCATCTGTATTTGGTCCGGCGGAAAGCCTCTCTTTTCCACTGATTGTAACTCGCTACTACAGAAATTAAAACTGAAATTGAAAGATGTCTCAAGCAAACTTACTGTCAGATCTCAAATAACTTATTTTGTTCAAGGAAACTGAGTAAACTGGAATAGAAAATTAATAGAATTTTTAATAAACACGTTTTCAATACTTATGGCTCAACAAGCAAGAGCGATAACTCTGAAAATCCCTCGACTAACATCCAGCATAATAAAATGTCATTTGAACCGAGGATCTCGTTTTCGTTAACAAAGATGACGAGACTTATGTATCGTGTACTCTCCTACAACTTGTCCGACGTTTCAATGGCGCTTACTGCCTCCATCATTAAAATAATCCCCCTGATGATGGAGACAGGAAGCATATCCGAAACGTCGGTCAACTTCTACGAGACTGCACGTCGTCGCCATCTTTCCAGAAGACAGTCATCGTCACACTTTACGCCGTGAGAATCTGAAATATTACCGTTTTCCTTACTTTTACGCAAAATTGTCCTTGGAACAGAGCAACCGGGCATTGTTTGAATTTTATTAATACAATTTTTCCTTGAATCTGTTGCAGTTTCTAAGGGCCCAACATAAAATCTACGATACATGAAGTTCAAATTACATAATACATACCTAGCAGCAAAATGAACAGTTATGAAACACACAGAATTCCAAGAAAATATTTCACATTTCAACGCTGACAACCACAAATTCCGCCCAAATTAACCGAGGTTTTGATTCTCTCTCTCTCTCTCTCCACTTGGCCGGGGGTTTATACGCTGAGCACAAGACAGACCGCATGGACAAATATATTGAAACTGGCGACCGCAATGTATAGCATTAAACCACACATCCAATTATGTCAGAACCGGAATCCTTCTAGCATGTCAAATACTGGGAACTGGGATAATGATTAGACTTCTAAAGTTGGTAAATGCCTACCAGCAAAGCTTTGGCTTGCCACAACATGATTCGTTATCGTTGGGTCCACGTGCGAGTTTAAGTTACTCTACGAACTTCTTCATCTCTGTCATTTTTACTCTGCGAATCACCCCATATTATCGATGCAAACAACGAAAATAACAGAAATATGTAAACAGTCTTTATATTTAATGATTTGCTGTCATTTTTATTTTTTTAAAAAATTGTCTATAACATTTGCAAATTTATTTATCCGTAGGCCGCCACGGTGGTCTAGCGGTTAGAACGCTGGCCTTGTAATCCTGGGGTCTCGGGTTCGATTCCCGGCGGTGCCCGAATTTATAACTTGTGTTGGGCAAGGCCGTGGTCTAGGCAACACGGAGTTTTCCTCCGTGGCGTCCCAACAATTACTCCATTCACACACAGACGAAGGCAATGGCAAACCACTTCTGGATCATCTGCCAAGAACGTATATGAACAGGTCCCAGTCCGAGAAAAGGATGGAAGGATCCTGTTCATATGGACCTGTCGTCAGACAGAACACTAAATAAATAAATACTGCACGCTCCATTACTTTTATCGTCATCGCTTACTTAACGTTTACGAAATTTATTAGTTCATTACTTATTATATATTTTTTATCTTGCTAGCGATGAACCACACACACATGGATCTTGATTCAGAGAATTTTAACTGTACTTCTAAACCGCCTCATAAAATACAATTAAAATTATCAGATAATGCCTTGGATGAATTTCGAAGGCTCTTACAGTAAATACGAGAGTGGAGTGCTAAAACATGCCTAAATCGCGTGATTATCTAACTGTTTGAGACAGCTAACAGTCGCCCGTCCTTTCATAGAACCTGGATTTCGTACCATGTTCAACAGCAGTCAGCCACAGGCCTTTATCTAAAGCCACATTAATCCTGTACACAGCCTCACGCCTGTTTCTTTAATGTATTTTAATATCATACCCTCTGCTCTAAGATGTCTCGTTCCGACTAAAAATTTTATATACAATTCTCATCGTTCTACCAAATTCTTTCTTATTGGTTTGTTTACCATAATAGTATTTGTGTCCTAATTAAAATAAAACAATTAAACTCTGTTACTGTTCGCGTTTCTACGCGTATTTACTGTATATTAGGATTATTAAATCCAAAAGGATTAGATGGGCGGGCCGTGTAGCATACATGGGTAAGATACAACGAAGTTTGTTGAAGTTAATTGGCCCATCTGTTTCGAATAAACTTCAGTCTTTTCGCGATCATAACCGTATTTTTGAAGCTCCTCTAAACCCACTATTTACGTTTTTCTGTAAACGGAAAAAATGTCTAGAAGTGTGATTTTTGTATTCTTTCAACCTTACTATTCACAAAATCCCCCAAAAAATCACACATAAATGGTAAAATAAAATGAACCGTATTGGTGTACGGCGACTCTACACTTAGGAATCCAGTTCGAATCCTGGTCGTATTAGTGACTATCTAGACCTGTCTTGGCCCAGTCTCTTGTAAAATGCTGTAACTGTGCGTCAGATGAGTCTACAACCATTTATTCTGAAAACCTTACATATAATCCATTATCACTTTTCCCCCCGTCTAGTTTTATGAGGTAAAAACGTCGTTAAATAAAATAATCAGTTGTAGCATCAGACATCTTTGTCAAACCCAGTCTGTTAATTAGGATGGCCGGTTTCAGATATCGCAGTAGCGTAAGGCACCTTACCCAAACGCATAAACTTCTTGCATCTCGTTGAAGTAGCCCAACCTCATTACTTAAACACGAAATATCTTTGTATATGTTCAGATCTAATTCTTTGCTTATGTTCCCCCAAGCACAGAAAATAACAGTAAAACTTTAAATAAAGATTTTATCAAACATTATTGCAGGAGTCGGCCGCTAACATGAGATATAAATCTGCCAGTGCTGTGTAATATTGAAGACTCTCGCCTGAGACTACACTCAACATCCACTGCATTCCCCAAAGATGTGCCTGCAACTTACCTTGTAAGAAAGCTGTCTAAGTCGCTGTTGCAAGCACAGAAGGCTCCTCACGGGGTCGAGTGTCTGGAGACAGTGACCTGAACAACAGTAGAGCGATGGATGATGTTTGTAGCAGGCCACACCAGACGACCGCGGGTACAGGCGGATGCTGGCTGGACTGGACTGGACTGAAACGGGGAGCAGCAGCGAGCTATTGATCACCTACTCTGGATTGTCATCTCACTCGCTCTCCCTACTAATTCATTCGTTATCTCTGTCTTTCTCTCCCGTGTTCCTCTGGCAGCTGGATCAACATGTCTGGACTGAGTGCGCACTAGTCGCTGCTGTGTTGGAGCACATCTAAAGATGGACCTTATTTCAGATTATCCTGCAAGATTCTTTCAGCTGCAGAAGAAACATATTGCGTCTAATGAAAACAGAATATATGGCAATGTTTATTTAACAACGCTTTTCAAACTGCTTCGACTAAACAGTGTCGATTGGTAAAGAATTTTGAATGATGAATTGAAGAGGATACAAAAGAAAGCGGACATGTATTATTCAAAATTATTATTCCAGAATTTGCATAGAGGAAATGACGAATAACACGAAAAGACCCAGGATAGTGCTCACCAGGACCAGAATCGAACCGTGGACCTCCAGAACACGATGTCTTCTGTGAAAGTCTGAATTTGTAAGGGGACTTGTAGTATTTTTCAGCGTTCACACTTGCAAATACATAACTAGTCTAGACAGCCATTAGTAAACCTTGGCGAGATTTGAAGCGGGCATTTTTCGAATTGTTATCGGCACACCAACCTGCTCTGTCGTAAAGCATTTCTTCCAAAAGTTGATTTTTTAACGTAATCGTTCTTCACGTTCTAAAACACTTCATGGGCCCGGCCATGTTTGTTTTTCTGTTCATTGCATTTTTCGTGGGGGTACTCAGCCTGCGTAAACAGTGGGTAATTGTTCCTACGGCGATACTCAACCTGCATGACCTGGGATGTCATTAATACAAGAATGGCCCAAGACTCAACAGTAACCTCTGATTACATCAGTGCTACGTGGGGTGAAGAATATTTTTGGAATGTCAGTTTACTCCAAAAAGTACGCCTTTCTAATTTTGTATTAAACATCACTTCCAGTCACAGAGGCTATAAGCGTATAATGTAATTATAAAGATCGTGAATGATCAATAGGTATGGATTTGGAAGGAGTCTCTCGTGGCCTGTTTAAAATACTGGTAACAATTCCGGCTGTAGCCTTAAAAGACAGAATACCACGAGATACCTTATCGGCCGCCTTAGAACTTGAGATCACATCTGTAATGTAGCATTTAAGACGATTCTATTTCATAAAATCTTTAGAGCTGGTTGGCTTAATCTTTTCATTTGCAAATGATGAATGAACCATGTAGTGATGTGATTGAGCTGAATCCAATTACTGAGCTGTCTAATTTGTGGAACAGTGTGTAACAGCAAATCTACCAATGGAATCCGATTCGTTTTGACAGGGGATGACGTGAACTAGGGGTAGAAATTCTCCTCATCTCTCCACAAATCGAATTGTGCCTCCTGGTGTCCAGATGTGCCTCTCGTCTGGCTCGGAATACCTATTTAAGAAGAAATGTGACGCCAGACACCACGAATCGACAAACACTTACACACTAAACATTGTTTACCTCACATCGCGTAGTTATTTTGTCATTTTAAAGTGTTTATTTAACACTTGTCTTCTATACCAGTGTTTTCCATTTGGTATACCACCCTACTGAACCTTGTAAATCCTCACCAGTTCTGTAGTATTTGAGGTTTTCACGGCTGTGAGTATGAGGATTTCTGTCTTCTGGGTTGTTGAGCCGTGTAGTCTGGTAGAAGTTTACCGACGTTTCAGGGGTCCTTGCTGCCTCCATTATCAGGGCGATGGAGGCAGGAAGGACCTCTGAAACGTCGGTGAACTTCTACCAGACTAAACGGCTCAACAACCCAGAAGACAGAAATCCTCATACTCACCAGTTTGGTCTCGTCCGGTTGGATATGTATTCCGTCCCCTCTCCCAGTAGTTTACCTGAAGACGGAAATAGAGCCACCCTTCGGAACGAAATATAATCTCGACTCTCAGACAATGGACATGTCCAGAGAACATCCTACTTAAATATGATCTGTGTTACATTAAACTTCTGTTGCATGGCTGTGTGTTCGTTCCGTGATCCTTTGTTTGATTTGGAGTGACATGTAACTGTAGATTCTTAACAGCCCTTATGCAGAATAGATACGAACTCTCTTTCTCCATTATTGGGGCTGGGAGTGGTGATCTGATCTTACGTTGACAAACCGCCACAAATGGAACAATGTTTGCTTAAGACCTTTCTTTTTGGGACCTATTACTTATCCCTGTAGTTATCAAATTACATTCTCCAAGGCAATCTGTGGATAATTTGTGGTTCGCAAGTCTCAGGTGAATGATGCAGTTGCTTATTTATCTTTAAGTGTTTAACTTTGTACTTTGACGGTGCATATAAATACAATGTAAATTGTCTTCATAGCGTAGTAGAAAGACTGCCCCTGAATCTACGTTTTACCTCCGATATTAACGAGTAAGTCTTAATGATATTTGCTCCTAAAAACACAACATTGAAGTCCGTACCAAATCACGTGACTGACCGATCTATTCAATTTAATTGTTGTGAGTAAATAATGGAAATAGTTTGTTACTTTCTATGAGAATTCTGCAATAGACGGATACTGTGAAGGCGTACCACGATATATACACCACAACAAAGCTCGAGAAGAAAAGTTGTAAGAGTAGCATTGCCTTGTACCGTCGTATGTAGATAATCCGCTGTACTTTCGTGTCAAAGCAGTTGCTGGTCGATCAAGGCGTATCAGTGTCATTCATAAAATGTGAAATTCAAAACAGTTGTAAGGTAATAATAAAGCTACATAAGATTAACCGGTTGACACATTGCGCCACTCAGGAGCCTTCAGCTTCAACCCACGGAGCCAGTCCCCTGAAAATATCATATACTCTGAGAGTTAATTTCTCTTTTTCACAATTGGCTATAACATCAATTTACCCTAAGACAAAAATTACTGTATTCTGGGTTGTAGCGCCGTGTAGTCTGGTAGAAGTTTACCAACGTTTCAGAGGTCCTTGCTGCCCGATGATAGAGGCAGCAAGGACCTTTGAAAATTGATGAACTACCATACTACATGACGCTACAACCCAGAATACAGTCATCTTCGTACTCACCACTGCGAGAACCTCAAATCCTACTTACGTACATCTTACAACAGAAATTGTGCATGTATGTTCACTTACAGCTCAAGAACCAAACTTGCCACATGCATTCCGTGAAACCAGGAAGAGATTTTAGAAAATTTCTGGGCAGAAACTCGGTTAAGGCGGTTTCTATGTCTTGGAAACTAAGCAGGATAGAAAAACAACACGAATACCAAAAATTATTTGTTTCGACGAGATTGGAAGAACAAAGGTCATAATCTCTAAAACTAGGGAGTCCCGTTTGAAGATGTTTTCTGTATCTCGGAAAATGAGCTTAATAGAAGAACGGCGCAAGGGGGAGAAATCGTTTGTTTTGACTAGTGGATCACACAAGCTTCGATCACAAACCCAAAAACTGTCTTGGGTTCTAGTCTCGGAGAAGATGTTGGACTTAGGAATGATAATAATTGTTCTGTGATATTTAACGATAAACATCGAATCGTCAGGCCTATGATAAATTTTCGAGCTTGTAACTCTGGGGTCTCGGGTTCGACTCCCGGCGGTGCCCGAATTTATAACTTGTGTTGGGCAAGGCCGTGGTCTAGGCAACACGGAGTTTTCCTCCGGGGGCTTCCCCGGTTTCTCCGTGGCATCCCAACAATTACTCCATGCACACACAGAAGAAGGCAATGGCAAACCACTTCTGAATCATCTGCCAAGAACGTATATGAAAAGGTCCCAGTCCGAGAAAAGGATGGAAGGATCCTGGTCATATGGACCTGTCGTCAGACAGAACACTAAATAATAATAAGATGCGGTGGTCTAGCGGTTAGAACGCTGGCCTTGTAATCCTGGGGTCTCGGGTTCGAATTTATAACTTGTGGTGGTCTAGGCAACACGGAGTTTTTCTCCGTGGCATCCCAACAATTACTCTATTCACACACAGAAGAAGGCAATGGTAAACCACTTCTGGATCATCTGCCAAGAACGTATATGAACAGGTCCCAGTCCGAGAAAAGGATGGAAGGATCCTGTTCATATGGACCTGTCGTCAGACAGAACACTAAATAAAATAAAATAAATATTTGTAGTAAATGTAAGTATTTGTCGAATTTTCCCTCTTTAACACTGCAGACACTCTGCTAGTATGTGTTTTACGAACATAAATTGTATAGCATGGGCTGCGTAATGTGTCTCTGAGAGAAGTGAGTTCACTGAAGAAATTACGGAAATCGTACTTCGTACCCCCGAGCAAGTCACGACCACTGTTCATCCCCAGTTCTTACTTAATATCTTCGCAAGTCCCTTGAGTTTATGGCTTCGGAGTTATTGAAACAAACGTTTCCTTCCCCATGCATAAAATCTGACTGTTGTACGTGTTAAGATTCATGTCACGTTGTTCAGATAGCCCGGGACGTGATAGCGCTCTGTTTGTCTCACGTTCTGTGGACCAGTGGATTGAATTCTAAGCCATGTTATCTCGACATTAAAACCATTCCTCGATCGATCCTGAAAGTAATGGAACAGAGACAGCGCAGAGAGCGACCTTTGGACCTTTGGAGGACTGAGAGAATTGTATACGTTAGGTCCTACTACAATTTCCAAATTCGCAGCTTTCCGGAAATAAAAGTTGTAAGAAGTGTCACAAAGGGACTCCCTAGCCTAGTATCTGTACACCCCAATTTCTACCAAAACTCGTATTAATTCACAATTAAGCTACCGGAGAACTCCCATAGCAATCCTACTTCTCTGCTCTGGATTCACGTCTGCAGTTTTGTCAACTGTTGGTTTTACAGTATAATACAAGTTTTTTGCATCCCTACCGACAATTTCACGTAATAAGTCCTTGCCACAGCCAGTTATAATGAGGGAGGTTGTGCAGGGACCACTCTTGACATCTGGTGCTCTCATGTTAATAACCATGGCAGATAGTGAGAACAGAGACTTCCATGCTAAGCAACACATTCTCTCCAGAGATGGACTGGCCGTACCATGTTAGTGCTCTGAAAAGTTTAATTTCCGTCAGCTGTTGGTACTTTACTTTTATAACTAAAACCTCCACTGAGCTGAGTTTTTATTGAAAAGCTAGTAGTCGCTCAGGTAGTCAGAAGATCCCCCCCCCCGCCTTTGTGGAACCCGAAACTTCATTATTGTGCTCACAAGAGCCTATCACTGGTCCATATCCTGAGCCACATGAATCCAATCCACACCTCCCTACCCCTTTGTCCCTAAGATTTGTCTTAATAGTATCCTTATGAGTGGCCTCTTACATTTA